GAAGGCCCCCCACCGCGCCCGCGGGGCTCCGGGCGGCCGAGACCACGAGAGTGCGGCCCCCTCCCCCGCCAAACATGCGACGTCCTGATTTTTTGTCAGTGCGGCGCCCCCAGAAGCCCCCGACTCTCTCTCCCCAGGACGGGATTTTCATCCTGCGTCGTTTCTTGACGATCGCGGGCCCCGGGGAGGGCCCCCAGGGCATCGAAGAACCTCCGGCCCAGGCTTTCCAACATCGTTGACGACTCTTGGGTTTACACTGGTCCTCCTCCTCCTCCTCCTCCGCCTCCTCCTCTTCCTCCGGCGAGGGCCCCCGGGGCATCGAAGAACCTCCGGTCCAGGCTCTCTTACGACGCCGTCGGGCCTGGGCCTCCTTCTCCTGTGCCAAGCTCTGGGGCGCGCTCGCCCGCGGCGTCGATCCGCCGCCCCCTGTCCTCCTCCACCATCCCCCTGCTCCCCCTGCTCCTGCGCCTATTATCTCGCGTATTCCTCCTCCACCTCCTCCTCCTCTTCGTCCTCCTCCTCCTCTTTGTCCTCCTCCTCCTCCTCCGCCTCCTCCTCCTCCTCCTCCGCCTCCTCATCATCATCCCGTTTCTCCATTCCTAGTCCTTGTGAATAACTCCTCCCTGTCGTACTCCGAGGCCAGCCGGAAGGGCGGACTGTTCGTTTCGTCGCAGATTTCCGTACCATTTTTGATCCCGAAGCTTGAACATGGGCAACAGCTTCACAGACGGAGGGCGGGTGGTTTTCCGAATGTGGCTCTTGTCTTAACGCGGCGCACATTCGTTGCAAGCATTTACATTAGTTTCACGGATTCCCAACATCAGCGTGTCAGAAATGGTGTTCTGAAAGGGTTCAGGATTATGCGGGCGCAATTGTTATGTTGATTCGCTGTGCTGAAGTCCCAGGAACGGTGTTCTGGCACGATTCAGGATTGTCAAGACGCAACAGTCAAGTTGATCCGTGGCTTTGGACTTCCTAGAACAATGTTTTGGCATGCTTCAGTGTCTTCAAACGGTCGGTTGTCTTCCAAAGAGGCAGTTCCTTCAATGGAACTGAACCGTCGTGAGGGCCGATGAAAAAAAAGAGCTTGGAGGGAGTGTTCATTCCAACATCTTTGACGACTCTTGGGTTTACACTGGTCCTCCTCCTCCTCCTCCTCCTCCTCCTCCGCCCCTTCTTCCTGCTCCTCCTCTTCCGGTGAGGGCCCCCAGGCCATCGAAACACCTCCGGTCCAGGCTTCCTTACGACGCGGTCAGGCCTGGGCATCTTTCTCCTGTGCATGCTCTGGGGCGCGCTCGCCCGCAGCGTCGGCCCCCTCCTTGTCCTCCTCCACCATCTCCCTCCTCCCCCATTCTCCTGCGTCTATTATTTCGCGTATTCCTCCTCCACCTCCTCCTCCTCTTCGTCCTCCTCCTCGTCTTTGTCCTCCTCCTCCTCCTCCCCCGCCTCCTCCTCCTCCTCCTCCTCCTCATCATCATCATCATCATCATCATCATCATCATCATCATCATCATCCCGTTTCTCCATTCCTAGTCCTTGTGAATAACTCCTCCCTGTCGCACTCCGAGGCCAGTCGGAAGGGCGGACTGTGCGTTTCGCTTCAGACTTCCTTACCACTTTTGATCCCGAAGCTTGAACATGGGCAACAGCTTCACAGATGGAGGGCGGGTGGTTTTCCAAATGTGGCTCTTGCCTTAGCGCCGCGCACCGCGCGCGGTCGTGTTCAAAATTAGCAACAGCTTCACGGATCGAGGGCGGGTCGTTGTACAGATGCGGCTTCCGCCTCAGCGCCGCGCGCATTCGTCCAGACTTGCACGGGTCGAGGCGCCTCCTTTTTCAAAATGTGGCTCTCGCCTTAGCACCGCGCGGATTCGATTTCAAACATATCGTAGGAACGATGCGGATTTAAAGCAGACCCTTTGCAAGATGTGGCTCTCGCCTGAACGCCGCGCGCGTTCGTTTAACCATTTGCTAGAATCTCGCGGGTTCTCATCGTTGACGTACCAGAAACGGTATTTTGGAACGACTCAGGGTTCTCTGGGCGCAAGAACTTAATGTACTCGCGGCGTTGTAGTCCTAGGAACGGTGTTCTGGCTCGCTGTAGAATCGTCAAGACCCGACCGTTAAATTGATTCGTGGCGTTGACATTCCGAGAACGGTGATTTGGCGGGCTTCAGGATCTATGAACGGTTGGCTCCCAGCGGTGCACTGCCCTCTGTGGAGGGATAGTTTACTTCAACATCGTCGACGAATCTTTGTTTCAAGAGGGCCCCAGGAAACCCCAGCATGTTTCAGGACACCCCAGGGAGCCCCAGGAGGCCCCAGGAGTCCCCTGAGGGCCCCAGCGAATCCTTCCCCAGGAGGCCCCAGGAAGGCCCAGGAGACGCCAGGAACCCCTCCAGGAAGCCCCGGGCGGCCCAGGAAGCCCCAGGACCCCCCAGGAAACTCGGCTGGCAAAACACATCGCGCGCGCAGATCGGCCAGGTGGCATGTCAGAACTCTTGCACCCACCATTGCGTTACCCGTTGGAAGCTGGCCCAACGCGTCCCAAAGGCCGCGCCAGCGCGCGGGCACCTCGGTGCAGGTCGGTGACTCGGGCGGGCCCGATGGCATGATGACGTTGACCACGGTGGCGACATGATGAGGGCGGTGACCCGCGATGATGGCGACAACGACGGCAAGGCCAGCGACGGTGCCGATGATGGCGACGACTCTGAAGGATTTGGACATGCGCTCGCGGCGACGCGCGCGCATGTCGCCCGCGTGGTATCCTTTGCACAGGATTCGCGCCCTGGGTGCATGACAGAGCATCGCGAGTGCACCGCGCAGCGTGATGAGATCGCTGGCTTTTTCACGAAACCATGGAAGTCGTATGGTCTTCCTATGAGTTCAACACTTGCGCGCGGGCAGGACTTCTGAAGATTCGTGATGGAAAACAATGAATGTATCAGGTTGGTCTGTTGAACTGGTTGCTAACACTATGTGTTTTTTTGTTTCTCTCCGGATTTTGGCATGAACGCGCGCGTGTGCACTTTGTGGTACTTTTCTGCAAAGGATTGTCGACGTCCATGTTGGGAGGAAGAACGACGAAACATGTTGATGTTGTATGTTCTTTTGCAAATTAGGATGGGACGTCCCGGATGGGGCGGCTATCGGCCGGGGAGGGGGGGATTATGAGTATACTCTTATAAAGAATCAGGATAGGAGTCGGAGTCGGAGTAGGAGTAGGAGTAGGAGGAGAAGGAGGAGGAGGAGGAGGAGGAGGACGAGGAGGAGGAGGATGAGGAAGGCGAAGGAGGAGGAGGACGAGGAAGAGGAGGAGGAGCCCCTCCCTTCTCCTTCTCTCCCTCCTCCTTCTCTGAGCCTCACCGTCCTCCACCTTCCTCCTCTTCCTCCTCCTCTTCCTCCTCCTGTTCCTCTATATCACTCGCCTCTGCCTCCTCCTCCTCCTCCTTCCTCCCTCCCTCGTCGTTGTCGTTTTCGTCGTCCTCGTCCTCGTCCTCGTCCTCCTCCTCCTCCTTCTCATCATCATCATCATCATCATCATCATCATCATCATCATCATCATCATCACCACCATCATCATCATCATTCTCATCATCATCATCAGCATCAGCATCAGCATCAGCATCAGCATCAGCATCATCATCATCATCATCATCATCATCATCATCATCATCATCATCATCATCATTCACAGTTATACACTCTGAATGCGGCTCTTCTCTCTGCCCTGAATATGTCCTGAAAATGGCCACCCCCATCCGCGTAATATTTGTTACACACATGTTGTGCGCGGGTTAGCTTTTAGTTTGTGGTTTCTCGCTTCGATCCCTTCGCGTCCTGTTTTCGGTTGCGCACAGGATTTGCGCGAACTGGCTTCTCATAGGGTTGTTTCCCCATCTGATTGTTGCAGTTTTGACAAATGGTGCTCTCGCTGCAGCGAGGGCCTCGTTTTCGGATCGGCGCTGTGCTCCCGCTGTTCCGCCCTAGTGTGGGCCACTTGTCTGCACCCCGCAAGTCTCGCAGGTCTCGCAGGCACCAAAGGTCCCACAGATCCCACAAGACCCACAAGTGTCGCAGGTCGCCCCAAAAGTCCTGCGGGTCCCCCCCAGTCTGACAGGTTCCACAGGCCACACAAGTCCCACATGTGCGGCAGGCTTTAACTCGGGCGTGTCCCCCTACAGGGGGATTTTGGGGGAAGAATTAAAAAATGCTTAAAACATACCCCCAATACATTCAAAAATAATAAACAAAAATCGTCCCCAGACTATTTTTTTGACTATTTTTGAAGATGGCCCAACTTAATGGCAGGCCTCCCATGCCCCACAAGTCCAACAGGTCCGATGGGTCCAGCAGGTCCTGTCCACGAGGTGTCGCATGTCTCCCAAGTCTCACAAAAAAACAGGTGCCACAGGTCCCGCAGGTCCAGCGGGTGCCACGGGTCCCACAGGTCTCGCAGGTCCCACAGGTCCCACAGTTCCCACAGCTTCCACGGGCCCCACAGGTCCCACAGGTCCCACAGATCTCACAGGCCCCGCAGGTCACAGAGGTCCCCCAGGTCGCACAGGTTCCACAAGTTTCACTTCTCCGACGGCGCACAACACGATAGGGGTCTTTTGTGGATCTGCAGGTCGGCTATGACACGCGTCCGCGGTCACAGAAAACATGAGCGCAATTGAAGGGCTCGGAAGGAGGGACCGAAGACATGGCGCGAGCGCACCCAGCTTGCCATCGTCCCTCTCTCCCTCCCATCCTCGGCGCCATCCTCGTCGAGTCGTTGCCTGCGCGCAAAACGCGTGGAGGGGGGCGCAACGACGTGTTGCGCAGCGGCGCGCGCCCTCTCCGTCGGCGCGCGCCCGCGGCGGAGGCCGCCGCTGCCAGCGGGCCGCGCGCGCCGCTGCCGCGGCGGGCGCCGCCGCTCGCCCGCCGCGCCTCAGCCGCCCGCAGCCGGCCGCCGCTCGCCGCAGCTCGCCGCAGCGCGCCGCCGCGGCCGCGGCCTACGGGTGCCGGGGCGGCGGCAGCACGCCCGCCACGGCGCTCCCGCGCCGCCCGGCCAGGTCCCGCGGCGTCAGCCCGTGCTCGTCCCGCACGTCGGGCCCGGCGCCGGCCCTGCAGAGGGCCTCCGCGCTGCGCGCCTGCGGCGGCGGCGGGCGGCGGCGGCGGGCCCAGAGCCGCAGCGTCGCGAGCAGCTCGAGGCGGGGGGCTTTTCTCCACTTTCGGCTTCGCCTTATCGCCGGGCCCATGGGGCCGTCAAAGCACGACTCGGGAGGAAGGGCCGGCCCTGGGGAGAAGGTCAAGTGAAACTCAAGACATCGGATGTCTAGGGCGGGCGGCGGCGGCGACGACCGGGGCGAGTGACGCCCACGGCGGCGGCTGCAGAAACTGCATACGTCAAAAAAGCTTGCTGTAGGATTGCAATGGAGGGACACCTTGTTCGGTCGACCTCGACCCTAGCAGGATGCCCCAGAACTCCACCACGTGTCCGGGGACCCCCGGGAATCAGAGATTTCGGTGTGTCGCCTGCTGGCAGACCACATTCTTATCTGGTGTGCCCACGCCAGACATGCGACGTCTTGATTTTTTTAATATGGCGTCCCCGGAAATCCAGGCCCTTTCCCCGGGTCCGGTTTTTCATCCTGAATCATTTTTTGACGGTCCCGGGGACTGGCGAGGGCCCCTGTGCCCGGGGCCGAAAATAGGGAAAAATTTGCCGTCCTGATTTTTTCACGACGCGATCATGTCTGCTGTGGCTCGAGCACGCGGCGGCGGTGGCGGCGACGCAGGGCGAGCGACGAGTGCACCGGCGCAGGACCAGAGACGACCCCAGGCATCCGGTGTCCCGAATTTTGTCAGTGCAGGTCCCCCCCGAGGTCTGGACCTTTTCCTCAGGGCAGCTCTTCATCCCAGACATGATCGCTTCGTAAAAAAATCAGGGCGGCAAATTCTTTGTTATTTTCGGCCCCTGGGGGCCCTCGCCGGTCCCCGGGATCGTCAAACAACGACTCATGATAAAAAACCAGCCCCGGGGAAAGGGTCTGGACTTCCGGGGGCGCCGTACTGAAAAACATCAGGACATCGCATGTCTGGAATCGCATCGCATCGCTGGCGGCACGAGAGCTCTCTGAAGTATCACGTGGCGCGCAAACATCTGGACGCCTGCTGTGACAAGCAATGGTCGAAAAAGTCAATGCCATCATGAATAAGGCAGGATGGATGGTTCATACATTGCAGGGGGTCGTGTTCTCGAGGCGGCGCCCTGGATGATGGCTAGAAGAACGGGCCCATGGGCCGGGAAACTATTTGTTTAGTCGCTACCCCCCGCCCTCCTCGGGCGCGCGCCTGGACGGTCGACGGGCCAGACAGAGCCGAAGCGAAGCGGAGGCCGAAGATTCGGAAGCCATTCTGTTACTCGTTCCCCCCACGCACACCATTTTCCCAATCGCCGTCTGACATCGAGTCCACGAGTCTGCGCTCAGGCCGAGGGGCTCTGCGGCAGCCCTCGGGACCCAGACATCCAGCTGCTCCAATTGGTTCGATGCGTGGGCCCCGGAGGTCTGGCCCCTTCCCCGGGAGTGGCTTTTCATCCTGAGCCGTTTTTTGATGCTCCCGGGGCCCGGTAGGGGCCCCCCTGTGGCCGAAAACTACCCCAAACCGCCCGCTCCAATTTTTTCGGGAGCGTCGGATCTCTGGGGTGAAGTCGGGAGTGTCCCCCTACAGGGGGATTTTCGACGAAAAATCAAAGATACCCCCGAAATACTCCAAAATGATCAAAAATACTAAAAAAAATAGTCCCCTGACTATTTCTGGACTATTTCTGGATATTTCCCCTTGTAGAGGGACAAGCCCGACTTGAGGGTAGGGGCCCCCCTGTGGCCGAAAACTGCCCAAAACCTCCGGCTCCAATTTTTTCGGGAGCGTCGGATCTCTTCGGCGGCGACGATAGGGGCGAATATAGCCCAGGGGCGGGCACTACACGCATTCGCCCGGGAGCCTCTTCGAAGACATCAATCATCGGCGCCCCTGGATACATGTGTTGCTCTCTCGGGCCGGGCGAAAGGGGGGGATAGCATTGGGGGGGGTTGAGAATCAGCTCACGTAGCTGATTTTCCCGGCGCCTCCCCGCACTAGAGGCGGCCATGTATCGAGGACTGGGCCCCTCGGTGGGGCCGAAACCAGCTGCATGCAGCAGATTTTGTAACCCCCCCTTTCCCAATCACCCCCCTTTCGTCCGGCCCGACCCTCCCCTGGGCTATTCGCCCCTGTCGTCGCCTCCGTTGAGCAGGGACCGACCGTCCTGGCATTCCTATAGTCCTACCACGAAATGTTCTTAGAACCCCAAAATGTTCTAAGAACAAAAACAATGTTCGTAGAACATAAGCCCGATGTGATAAAACAAGACGATCCCCGCCGGAAATGTTCTAAGAACATGTCGTGGAAACCACGGAAGGTTCTTAGAACATTGCTTGGTAGGGCTATGTATCCAGGAATGGGCCCCTCGGAAGGGCCGAAACCAGCTGCAGGCAGCAGATTCTGTAACCCCCTCTTGCCCAGTCCCCCCCTTTCGTCCGGCCCGACAAAGAGAGGAAGGGAGGGAGGAAGGGAGGGAGGGAGGGAGGGAGGGAGGGAGGAGGAGGAGGCGGAGGAGGAGGAGGAGGGGGGAGGAGGGAGGAGGAGGGAGGAGGAGGGAGGAGGAGGGAGGAGGAGGAGGAGGAGGGAGGAGGGAGGAGGGAGGGAGGCCCGACTCTCCCCTGGGCTACTCGCCCCTGCCGTCGCCTCCGACCTCCGGGGATGCCTTCGTGCGTGGCCGGCGGCGCCCTCGCCCCCCCGAGCGGCCCGCGGCCCGCCCCGCCGGGAGAGGGCGCGGGCTCCTCCGCCCGAGGTCGGCCCAGCGGCGGCCCACGGGTGACGTCGGGCGCGGAGGAGGAGGAGGTGGAGGAGGAGGAGGAGGAGGAGGAGGAGGAGGAGCGGGGCGTTGACCTAAGGAACCCTAAATAAGGAACGAGGTCCCTCTTTTCCACAAGTTGAACTTCGATTTCCCATCGAAGACATGAGGAAAACCTGAGGCAAGCTGCGAAACACTCAAGGAACGCGGAGCCCCTCCCCAACCAAAAGGGTTCCTTCTTCAGGGCCCCGACTGTACCTACCAGACCACCCCAACCCAACCCGAAGACCCGAATTTCGGGTTGGCGGGGGGGAAGACGGGTTCCATATGCGTTTCCTCGATGGTCCCCGACCCCCCCCCCACTGGAAATGGAGGTCCATTTGAGGCCTTCGGGTTGGGATGGGGTGGTTTGGTGGGTGGTGACGAAAGGGGGATTTTGGGCGAAATAATGCCCCCCACCTGCTCAAAAAGTAGCCCAACAATCGTCCCCGTTTTTTTATATAAAAAACAAAAACAAAAGAACAACTATTTTTGCGCATGCCTCCCTTGAACCAAGGGGGCCCGGCGAGGGCGCCCGAGGGGCGAGGGCTGCGAGAGACCGCCGCCTTGGGCTTCTCGAGGCGTCGGAGGTCTGGGGAGGAGGGGGCGGTGAGGAGCGGAGGGAACCGCTCTTCTCCCTGTCATTTTTTGATATTAGTAGTACTATTATGTTATACGTTTTTTTTATTTTGTTGGTAGATGTTTGGTTGTTGTTGTCTTTTCTATCTCTCTCTCTCTCTCGCTCTCTCGCTCTCTATTTCTGCCGCGGATGCCTGCCCCTGCAGGTGGAGGCGGAGGTGGGCAGGCGCGAGCGGGCGGCGATGCGGGAGCCCCCCGAGGAAGACGGCGACCGGGGGGGGGGGGGGCGGGCACGAAGAGGCGGAGGGGCACGATCCCGGATCCCCGACAGGAGGTCTGGGGTTAAGTCGGGCGTGTCCCCCTACGGGGGGATTTTAGGCGAAACATGCAAAATACCCAAAAGATGCCCCCCCAATGGGCAGAAAGAGTCAAAAAAACGTCCCCAGACTATTTTTTCACTATTTTTGAATATTCCTCCTGTGGAGGGACGGGGCCGACATAAGTCTGGGGACGGCCACGGCGGCGGCCAACAGCAGCGACCCGAGCACGCGGCGGCGGCGGCGCCTTCTCCCACGCCACCGCCTCGTGCAGCGCCGTGCGCCCTTCGCGGTCCGTCGCGTGCAGGTCCGCGCGCGCCTCCAGCAGCGCCCGCAGCGCCTCGGGGCTGTCGCACATGGCCGCGGCGCTCATCGGCTGCACTCAAGAGCGACCCTGTCGGGCGCTGCTACAAAACAGGAGGCGGAGGCGGAGGAGGAGGAGGAGGAGGCGGAGAAGGAGGAGGAGGACGACGACGAGGCGGAGGAGGAGGAGGAGGAGGAGGAGGAGGAGGAGGGGGTGGAGGAGGAGTAGGAGGAGGTGGAGGAGGAGGAGACCGAGGAGGAGGGGGAGGAGGAGGTGCAGGAGGAGGAAGACTGCCTCCACCGCAGCCCATCACGAGGACCCGAGGGCCCCAGGCGCTCCAAAACCTGAGCAAAACGATCGGGGTCGCTTGGGCCATAGGCAGTTCTATAGCACCCCCTCCACCTCCTCCTCCTCCTCCTCCTCCTCAGCGCTCCTCCTCCTCCTCGTCCTCCTCCTCCACCTCCTCCTCCACTCCTCCTCCTTCTCCTCCTCCCTTCGTTGGTTTGCCTGCGCTGTGCTCAATGCGTCGCCGAAGGAGGAACAACTATTACAAACAACTCATGGCTCCCACGCTAGGCAGCCGCTTCGTGCGGTGCGACAGGTGGCGGCCTGCGCGCTTGGGCCGGGCCCCGCAGCGCCCCCCCGAAAGGCGGGCACCGAAGGCCACCCCGGCGAAGGGCCACTCGCGCGGGCGTTGGCAGGACTAGCTTTAGTGGGACCTGGTTGAGCGTGATGTCTCCCTGGGGACGCCCCCCCCCCCCGCCCCGTTCCGCGCCCGCCAGAACCGGCGCCGCTCGAAACCCGCTGATTACACGGCAGACCTGGTTTCATGATTCGTGCTCTGGTTTTCGGGGTCTACTTACGATCTCCCCTTGCTGGACCTGGCGAGACCCGACACTCTTTTGTGCAGCCGAGCTCAGGGCTGGCCGCCCCGCACTGGCGCTGCGCGCGCTCGGGTCGGCGCCCTCGGCAAGCGCGGCGCGCACCGCCGCGGCGTCGCACCGCCGCGCCGCGGCCCACAACGCTGCGCCGGGGCGCGCGGCGCGTGCGCCGCCGCGGCGCGCGGCGGCGGCGGCGGCGGCGTCTGCCGGGGCGGCCATGGGTCCGGACCCAGACCGCGTCGGTAAAGAATCAGGGCGGGAGGCTTTTGTTCGCTACGGGCCCCAGAAGACTGCTCAAGATTCAAAACCAGCCCCGGGGAAAGGGTCGGGACTTCCGGGGACGCCGCGCTGACAAATACAGTCGGACTTGATTGGACAGGACACGCGAGAGGACACAAAACCCTTCCGAGGGCCACATTGCCGCAGGAATGTAGGACGCATGGGTCGCGAGACACAGGACACAAGGGTACCCTTCATTTGGCAGGGTCGACCTACTAATCTGGGCAGACTGTATCAAGACGTCGCATTCGGGGGAGGGCGGCCGACGAGAACGGACCGACCTCCACCGCCTTGAGGAAGTCGATGCGGAGGATGTACGCAGCTCTCCGCCTCTGGAAAACGATTATCAGGCGTCGCGAAAAGAAAAAACACGAGGAGTTTGTATTGTTTTTTTTTGTTTTCTCTCTCTCTCTCTCTCTTTCTCTCTCTCTCTCTCTCTCTCTCTCTCTACATTCGGCCTCTGGGGGCCCTCGCAGGGCCCCGGGACCGTCCAAAAACGACTCGGGACGAAGAGCGGGTCCTGGGGAAAGGGTCGGGACTTCTGTGGATGCCGCAATTCGAGATCAGGACGTCGCATGATCTGGGGGGGCGGGGGAGGGCTGCCGACAGGCCCAGGAACTCGATGCGGAAAGTTTGCGCCAGCCTTCGGCCTCCGGAAAGCGACTCGGGACGAAGAGCCGGCCCTGGGGAAGAGGCCCAGGGCTCCGGGGACCCCGCATCGAGAAACTCGAGAGCCAGACATTTTTGATCTGCGGGGCGAGAGCGAACCTCTTCCGCTAAAAGCTAGGCGGGCTACGCACAGCTTTAATCAGGGAGACAGGGCACAGGAAGGCGGGGCCTCAGGCGGCCACTCGAGACCCAGACATGCGACGTCCTGACTTTTTCAGGACGGCGTCCCCAGAAGTCCCGACCCTTTCCCCTGGTCCAGCTTTTCATCCTGAGTCGTTTTCTGACGGTCCCGAAGCCCGGCGAGGGTCCCACGAGGCCGAAAACGGCCGAAAACGGGCGAAAACCCGCCATCCGGATTTTTTCACGACCCGGGGACGTGCCCTGACCATCCGGCACCCACAGAAAACAAATGATAAGTTAAGTTTAAGAAGCTATGCTAAGTTCTAAGAAACTAAGGTGAACCCGCCAGCAAAACTAAGGTAGATAAGTTCAAACTAAGTTAAGTGCAACAGGGCAGGGCATTTTAAGTACATGCTAAATGCGGCCTAAGGCAAGAAACGTGCGACGATCCAATACGAGGCCGACCAGCTGTTGGAAACACCGCACAATTTTCGATACACGGATGAGTGTAATCAGAAATCTCTGCTCTGTTGCACGTATCTTAGTTTGAACGTATCTACATTCGTTGTGGGGGGAGAAAATCACTTAACTTAGTTTGAACTTACCATAGATTCTTAAACATAACTTATCCGTCGTTTTCCGCGGTTGCCGAACGCTCTCCTACAAGGCAGCTTCCCGATTGAAGGCTGCACTGCTTGGCGATCCATAAATTCAGTAATCCTCCTCCTCTCCTCCTCCTCCTCCTCCTCCTTGGGCCCCTCTTGTTGCTCTCTCGGGGCAATCTTGGGGCATTGCGGAGCCCCCCATGAGCTGTCTCTGGCCGCCTAGCAGAGGGCGGGCATCGCTGACGCCTGAATCGAGACCAGGAAATTTCGGGCATGTCCCTGGGGAACAACCAAGGAGCCCGCAGGGTACGGCCCAAGGGGCCCTCAGGAAAGAACGCGACGGCTCAGGAAAACCCCAGGACTGCCCCAGCCGAACCCAACCAAAACCCACGAATGCATACCACAAGCCATCTCGTTTTTTTATTTTGGATGCCCGCGTGGAGTCGTCTTTGGGCCTCAAGGCCCCCCCTCACCATGTGGGCCCCCATGGGCGCCCAATGCCGCGGACGCGAACCGCGCGGGGACATCGGCTGGCGGAGTCGGCGCGAGCCGTGCGAATAGTGAGAGGAGGGGGGACTCAGGACGAAGAGCCAGCAAACCAGAATCGGAAAATTCGCTTCATCAGAAAATTGATCACATTCTCATTTATTTTCGTGTGTGTTTTCCACACTGGACGCCCCCCAGAGGGCGCCGCAAAAAACAAAAAACCGAAAACCATTGAAAATAAAGCAAACAGAAGACCCCAAACACAGCCAGGACGGAGGCTCGGCCCCCGAAGGCCCAGGCGGCCCCAGGACCACGGCCGACAACAAGCTGTTCAGGGTCTTGATCGAAAACGCTCACGCTGGTCCTCCTCCGTCGTCCTTCCTCCGCCCCCCTTCCTCCTCCGTGTCATCCGCCCCCTCCCGTCCCACGCCCCCTTGCGCTCGTATTATCCGCCGCCCTTGCCCCTCTTCCACCTCCTCCTCATCCCCCGCCCCGTCTGGGTCGCGCGGGCGGCGGCTGTCCTGGCCACTGCCGCGGCGCCCTCGTCGATCGACAGGGCCGCGGAGGGGGGGGGGGCACGATGGTGGCGATGATGATGGTGGTGACGATGATGATGATTATTATTACTATGATGATGATTATGATGATGATGATGCTGATGACGATGATGATGATGGTGACGATGATGTCTGCTGTTTTCTCGTGCCCAACCAAGTGCTGGGCACGCGCTATCACTCGAGGCTGGTGCCCCACCGATACTTCTCGACAACAACATTCGGTACCATGTGCACGCTTGTGCCTGCCACTGATTTGCCGCCGATTTTTTTTCATGTGCTTAACGAAATCCTCATCAATGAACGTCGCGCCCCTGCGGACGCCCAAGTACTTTGCTCTGTAGCTCATGTGTCACATCCAATGTAGTTTTGGCGCTGGAGTGAACAACATCTGGTCGCGAGCCTTGCTCGCGTTCGTGAGCCAACAATACACCCGACAGAACTTATCAGTCTCAGACAAGCAGGAGGCCGCTTCATTATCTGGAATGAACGCGTCATTGCTGTAATCATCTATAATGAACTGTATTTTAGTCATTGCATCGAGCGAGTTGGCAACCTGATCGTGAAAGTGGCCTGCTTTTTTCAGCTTTCCCCAAATGATATGGAGAGGCACAATAAGAGACTTCACCTCGCAGCCCTTCCCTTTTAACCTTGGGTAGGCTTCGTTCCATTTGCTAGGGTCGATGAAAGATGTTGTTCTCATTTTTGTGAACTCTGTGCCGCTCGGAGAACCTCTGTACTCATCTAGTGCCATTTTCCGCGCCAGCTCGAAATTCTCGGTCGGTGTTCCGCCGAGGCAATCATATGTCAGCAACCACAGAATGCTGCCAAGATAATGCTGTAAAACCCCAAGGTGCAGGATGTGTAACTCGTCGCACTCTAAGTTGTTCAATGATAAAAATGGAAACACTGCGAACAATGCGTGAAGCGTTGGCTTGCCAGCTCTCCATTCTGCCGCCGTATGCAATCTCGCCTCCCAAGCTGCCGCGGGGGAGAAATTTGTCGGCCACATCGCTTTCGGCAGCGCTCTGTCGCACGGGCAGAACTCACACGGGTCAGTCCGATTGTAATTCTTGAGGCCTAACCCCTTGAAGTACCATTCCAAGTCTCCCTTTATGGACCAGATCACTCCGAAAAACGCCTCCTCCTCAGAACACAAGCGTTGCCCTGCAATGGTTGCTTCGCTGGAGAGCGGGCCCCACGGGGCATCCTTCCAATCTGTTGCAGGAAACCGCCCATCATGCAACGCCTTCAAAGACCAGCAGATGTGTTTCCACATTGTCTCTGTCGTGTCTTGGGCGCCTGGGATGCTGGCAACCTTGTTGTTCTCGAACATCGAGCACAACAAACACTTGACCTTCAACGTCGGTCCCTTAGCTAGAAGAGATTGTATAGATATGCATTCCAAGCTCTCCGACCCAGGCTTCCCCACCCGAACCACTGGCACGGCGCCGCCGTGAATGGCGAGCGGGACGCGCCTTCTAGTCCAACCTGGCTTGAGGCACATAGGGTGATTCTGTATCCGCGGGTCCCGTCGGCGAACTACCTCACTCCAGAACGCGTGCAACGTCTCTTCTGATCCGTCTGGGCCCAAGAACTTTTCGTTGAACCGCACTCTGTCATATCTGAAAAGGTACGAGAATGTCATGTGCGCATCCAGAATCTTCACCTCACTCTGCCGAATAGACACTGCGGTCCCCCTGGGTTTGTGAACTCTCACCCAGGAGTGGAATATGCGAGCAGGGGGGCACGCGGGCTCGCCAATCCAATTGCGAAACTCCCTGGACACATTACCTTTGTATTTGCCCCAATGGCCCAATGATGCAAGATGCCGAATAGACGATGGCACAGCTTCGTCGGCCTTTTCTGGAACACCAAGTCTTTTGCAAAGTGCGACCATGTCGGTGCGCGCCCGTGCCGCTATTGACTGAATCTCAACGGCACTCTTAAACCCCCAGGCCCACTTAATGACCAACTTCCTAGCGAGGTCTGAATCTAAAAGGGCGGCCTTGCCTGCTGCCCCAGGATCGACGCTGGGCTGTGCACTACTGGATATCTCAATGTCTTCGAGTTTCCTTTTGCGCTGCTGTCTACCACCGCCCAATCTTTTCATCGCGTGAACGGTATCTATATGGAGGCGGAGTGTCACAAGATTGCGCACGAAATGAGTGAGACAAAACGGCTACTGATCCAGTGATGCTGCAATGGATGGAGCTGCCGATTCGAAGGGGGTCGGGCGTGCGATGATTATGGCTGTTGCGTTTGCTTGGCCCCGACACGAGCCTGTTGAACGACCGAGCCAAATCGAGCGCCTGCACAGCCCCTCCCCTCCCGCCCGCTCTCGACGGCAAGCGGGCGCGGCGCGCCGCGGGGCTCCGCCAAAAGGCGCCCCGAGGACCTGCCGAAAGCCTCCCGCGACCCAGGGGCCGCCCAGGGATTTCAGGACTAAAAAATACCAGAAAGCACCATCAGGGGCAAGTCTGGAAAATCAAGGGGCGATCCTCGA